ACCGCCAGCGAACGAGGTGAACGCGAGCTTCCCGCGAATTGATATGTTAATAAAACATAATTTCCCCGCAAATGAATACAAAGTCGCGCGGCATACTTCCCTCGGCCAGGCTAATCTCGTTTGCTGCAGCTACGGTAATTTCAAAACGGGAGGGAAAACGAGAGATGAAGGGGGGGAGGGGAAAGAGAGAGAAGCGAGAGAGGGAGAGCGCGTAGAGCGAGTTTTTCATCTTGAGAATTTACTTTCGCGGAAATAAACTCGCGTAGCTAGATTGTCTTAGCGTAATTGCTATTTGACGCTCTAATTCGCGCAACGGAACCGCGCGGCGCCGGGGCGCGGAGCGATTATCTCGGGAAACGGCGCTAATGCCGCGAGACGCATTCGCTCGCTCGCTCGCTCGCACGCGGCGCTGGTAATCTTAGCCCGGTGGAAAGAAACGCGGTAATAATGTCGCGAGATAACTCGAAATAATTTACGCATCACGACGGCGTTGAGCTGCTAAACGGCCGTTCTCGGGCGCGAGAGAGCGAGCGAGCGAGCTAACGTTCGCGCCTTCGTCGCGCGATTTAATCGTTGGTCAATGAACCGTGACTCGCAAGAATAATTCGCGAGCGCGCGCACACCCGTTGTTTCGGCTCGGACTTTTCAACGAGGCTGCGTGCGTGAGTGCTTCACCGCCTTTATGTGTGTGTGTGTGTGTGTGTGTGTGTGTGTGCACAGCCGGGAGTGTTGACCGGAATGGGAGAGGATCGGTTTCGCGAATTAATACGCGGCAGAAATGAATCACGCGCGACGGATCAAATTGAGAGATCGCATTAAGCGCGAGACGCCCCGCACCGGGGGGAAAAAATGCTGCCGAGTTCAGGTAATATTCGTTTGATTCGTGGTAAAACGGTTACTCCAATACTCCTTGGCTAATATTTACCAGAAGTAGAGGTATAATATCGATTACGTACAATGTGATGATTTCTTAGTACATTGAGAAAAAGATTTCTTCAGATTCAATCTGTTTTATCGCATCCAAACGAATTTCGCATGCTCCGGAGGAACTGATGTTTCGATTAATGATAAGTACGATTGTTAGATTTTTCAACGAACATGTATCTTTATCTTGAGTAAAAACTTTGAAACAAACGACAATTTTCTTATGAAGAAATTATTTGTTTCACTTTACATATTTATTGTAATAAAAATATTAAATATATTTATTGTAATAAAAGTAATAAAAATAATATTTTATTTGGTTAAAAGATATTATTTCAAGTAACAGCATTCTTTCTGTCAGATAATAGAGTTTGCTTGAATGAGACAAAATTTTTATTCGAACAAATAATATTTCGTATATGTTGTTTTTGTATGAAACAAATTTTGATCAAATAGAAATACTAAATCTAAAAAAACCTTTTTCCCTGTGTATAAATAGATATTTAAGGCCAGTTCCATAGTAATTTCGATTAACTTAATCGGCTGATTATTCCATCGGTACTGTCCGATCGCATTTGCCGTCAAGCGGAATTGGCCAGAAATAACCAATCACGGACACTTAAACGGCCGATTAAGTTAATCGGAGATCGTAAAACTGGTCCTTGGTTGTACGTACTAAGACAATTGCGACGTGTTGAATTCATAATATTGAGTCGGGATTTATTTTTATAAAATATTCACTGCACAGAAAAATCTCAATTTAAAACGATTAGATTTCTTTAAACCATCCATTAGTCACAAGTGCAGTCAATAGACACATCTCAGGCTACAACGTAAATCGCCGTTGCTGTACGGTCTCAAGGTCGAACTTGTTCTTGTCAATGTTTTTCCTTTGTTCTCTGGGCTCTTCACTGTCTTTTATGTACTTTAGTGCATAGTCTATTAGCCAAGTACTAATGAAAGAAAAATTGTTCCAAGAGAAGCGGGGGAAAATAATGAGGAAATTAGTGTATGTGTGAGATGCATTCGCGATGACTGGAAAATATTACGACTAACGTAGGGTTAATGGAAAAGAAATACTACATAATTCTCGTAAATACTCATTTCAACTTAGAACCATTTTACATTTACACTCAGTACACTGAGAGAAAAAAATATCTAGAAACAAACGGACACAATTGGGTCCTTGCACAGATATTTACTTAAATCTAAATTCACTTTATTTAAATTAGAGTATTATTTACTTAAGACGAATAAACGTTGTACTCGGTTCAAATAAAGAGAATTTAAATTTAAGTGAATATCGTGTAAGGATCCACCAAAAAAACATTCGTTTGTTTTAAGATATTTTCTTTTCTCAATGTAATTTACAAATTAAGGTATTACTGCGTTCATGTGTTCATACTACGGACTAAATTAAAATATATTCAAACTGACAAGAATATCATTTCATTTAAGAGGCCCGAAGACAGGTAATTACGTTCGCTTGATTTTGGCATTTTTTTTACAGGTATTGAAATAAGGAGTAAATTATTCGGCAGGTATGGTTTTACGTTTCGTTCAACGCGATGCGGCGGGATGGGAGGTGTCGTTTTACGAGTATGCACGCGCGCGAGACATAAACTCGCAATTTCGAGAGTTGTCCGCCGTAACGCGAGCCGCTCCGCCGATCCGCGCGTCGTCGCGACTGCGCGCGCTTTAATAATTTCGCACTGCGCGCACGCTTCGAGGACATCTCGAATATCGTAGGTTTCAGCGCGCACTTCGACGCACATTCGAGCTTCGAGGGGGCTGGGATTATTCGGTGACGTTTCATGTCGGCCGGCCCGAATGATTACGCACGCGTCTTGTGCCATTTACGCGTCGTCGTCCCGTGTGCTGACTGAGAGCGAATCGATCTATCGGATTCCGCTCGGCATGTGAATGCTCGCGACGAATTCACGCGTGTGACGACCGGGACGAATTTCGAGCTCCCCGGATCGAGTTCCCGCCGGCATTCCCGGCCTCGCGCCGCTTCCGAATCGGCTTTCGAAAACCGCCGGCCGGATTTTCGGCGGGAACCGCCGGTCATACTTTTTCAGGGCTTTTTAATTTAATACCGTTCTCATACAGCGGAAATTTGACGGCGGGACCGCCGTGGGCCACCGATGCTTTACAGGAGGATGGATTTTAATCGGAACAAACGCTGTGCGCCGGTTACATACTGAAGTGATAAATGTCGTTTACAAACGCGCGTTTGTGAGATCAAAGTGGTAGCGTAGATAGTAGCTTTTCAGTGTCTTCCTCAAATAAATAAAATATCATTCACACAGCAAAATATTTCTCTCTCTCTCTCTCTTTTTTTTTTTTAAATTCCCCCGCTTATGACTCTTTCATGTGACAAATCCGCAGATATGATCAGACATAAACACGACAAATAAAAACCTCTTTAAAATTCTACGCGATTCTACCGAAGGTAGTTGCTTTGTTTCGGAAGGTCGTCGAATTTGACAATCACGCGACTTTTATACACGGAATATTTCGTCGGGAATTTATGCACACAAACCTTTCTGCGCTTTTGTTTGAAACGTTGTTTGATCGAATTAGCTTTTCCCCTATCGTGCACGCCAAGGTACAACAAGCGACGCGAAAAGAAAGCCGAAAAAAGGAAGAAATCGCGCGACACGCGCTCGGCGTCGGGAACGATCCTCTATGCGTTTCACACATACGCGATGACGTTGCCAATTGGATCGAATTCCGCAGGAAGAGGTCAATCGAAATATCGCCGGTTGGCCCCTTTCAGCGGAACGCGATTCCAGCATCGACGGTTCGGGCTCCAGGAATCGAGTGGAACCTTTTCTTTCGACAAACAATTCGACAGCGGTCGCTCGCACCGAAATCCGACGTGTTCCGACAATACGGAGAGAAAAATTTTTAATAACGTACGTATCATAAAAAGCACGTAAAAAGTAGCCAATTAGACATACATCGTGTGTCATAGATGCAGCAAGATGCACTTAAGAAGGTTGCAAGGCTCAGCGACGTGTCAGTCGTACATTTCAGTAGCGCATCAAGGGAGACGCTCATAAATTTGGTACTTATCAAGTCAAATTACATTCCTATGCATTTATTTCATTATCTAAATAATAAATATTAAATCCAAAGTTGAGATAAATATGTAAAAAAAATATATACAAATACATAATATTACAAATACGAAAATATTATTTTTTGTTTTTTCTTATTTACGCATCCGTTGATTTAATAGAGATGCATATAATAGAAAGAAATATATAAGTTTAAATATGTATTTCTAATATCATTGTAAGTAATGAACTTTACGTCACTGTATTTTAAAAGTAAAATGGTCAATAATTCTGAAATCTCTTTTAATATCATAGTAATTTTTTTGTCAAAATCTTTAGTTTATATATAGTTTTGTCAAAATTTTTAGTTTAGACGATATCAAAAATAGAAATTAAAAATAGCACGCTGATCTCAAAGAACGCGTATAAAAAATGCCAATATTAATTGAAAATATCTCAGTTTTCAATTTTTCTCTAATTGCACGAGCAGTTGGATAATATTTCAATGTATACGCAGCACAAGTTCCATCGAATTATTTTATCAAGCTTATCTCACCTCACAACCTCCTTTAATGATCTTCTTTATCGTATTTTTCAAACACCAGAGATTGGACATTATTATCTCCCGACCTCGTAATAATTATAACCTCCTATTAATGATTGTATAGAAATTGTGAATTTTATCATTTGTTAAATATAAACTCAGAGAAATGACACATTAGACACCGAACAAAATTCGGAGTAAGAAAGAAAAAAAAACGTTCAAGTATTTCAGGTAGCTTTCCCTTCGGCTGCTCGCAAAATTCGAAGAAGCGGGCCTGTCCGCCTTCGCACCCGTGCCTTCGATCGTTGAAACGCATGTCGAGAGAGACACGAGGAGTGCTTACGTGTCTCCATGTGTGTGTATGCGTGTGCATGTGTGTTCGTGTGTTACGAGATTACACGTACATAACATCGATAGAAGGAAATAAAAAAAGAAATGAGGGAGATGAAAGTTAGAGACGGACTCACCCAACGTCGGCGTCGTGTAATCCCAGCTCTCTGCATCGTTCTTGTAGACGTTCAATTTCGTCGGCTAGAAAAGACAAACATACGACGGTATTTAAGTAAATGCATACCGAAACATCACAGAGAATCTAGCACGTAAATTCTTTTTCTCGATAACACGAAAACAATCGCGCGACCTCGAATATTGAAATGTTAATCCTCAGATAACAAGATGTCGATGAAATCACTGACAATTCGACGAACTTTTACAGAGTCCTGGTATCAATAAAGACAAATAAGAACCAACAAATTCGATCGCTCTCGCACATTAAATTTCGTGAGACGACGTTACTGTCTCCGTTCGAAAAAGAAAAACAGCTTCGTGCGCACAGAGAGAGAGAGAGAGAGAGAGAGAGAGAACGAACTTTACTTGTAAACGTGCAGCTTCATCTCAAATGCATAGGTATATCCGGGTGACGTGTAATATTGTTATTGAAACAGTTTCATTAAGTTCCCCAGTCAGTTCCTAAGAGAACTCGGCCGGGATCCAATGAGAAATATCGTTAACCATAACTCGATATCTCAATTTTCGACGGTACCGTGTAAGCGCATAACACCCTCCGTCTACCACCCTCCCCTCTCTTCCCATTACCGTAACGAACAGTCCGCGCTTGTTCTCGGTCATCTAATGAATACTTCGGCGAATCTCACGGGCATGCGAGACTAATTCGATTAAGCTTAAGCGACGCAAATCCCCGGGTGTTAAATAGAGCAGCTCTCTCCTCTCTCTGTCTGGATTCTCTCTAGTGATTCTCCGCGAAGCTCGCTATTCCTACGAGGAAGTTGCTCGCGAGGGCATGATCAATTCATCGATCCGCCTGTCTCGTCGAAAGAATTCCCATTACACTCAGGAAAGAGAAAGAGGGAGAGAGAGAGAGAGAGAGAGAGAGGTGTCATCCAGTTACAAAGAACAAAAAAGGTAAAATACTGATTGCTTCTTGGCAAAAAAGATGATAGAAAGTCTCAGACATCAAAATAGTGACCAAAATTGACATTTTTTGTCAAATTTTAAAATTAAGACTTTAACAAAAAATAACACTTACTTTCCCGTGTTTTTCATCTTTGGATAACCTAACACATAGCTAGTTTTTTTCATAGTACGAACATTCATAATATGTATGCTTTCGGAGCAGTTTTATTAAGAGAGACAAAAAAATATATACATATAATGAACACTCACATATAACAAAAATATATACATATGTAGAACACCCATATTTTACAAATTTAACGGCAGCTCAGAATAAAAGTGATTATGCACGGGGGAGAAAATACTGCTGAAGCAATCGAATTTCCAAGCAGCACGCATGATTGGTGTAAACATTCTTGACTCGATAGCGATATCATTTAAACAAAATTGACACTTCAATTATCGAGACAATACAACATAACATAGTAATTTTAGCTAATATTTGCCATCGAATCAAGAAGATTTGTTCCAATTACGTTGCGGTCGGAAAATATCTATTGCTTCAATGGCATTTCTTTTTTCTCTGCAGTAATCCACCCTGGACGATAGCGAATGATATAAATTTTTTAGCGACTCGTCAAGAAACAGTGGCAAAAGGTGACTTAACTGATTGGACGGCCGCGCTGAGAGGGGGAATTGTAAATACCGGTCCGACAGTAGTAATGCACGTAAACGCGGCAACGTTTCCGCGGCTGTAAAAATGTCACGGCGCTGGGTCGAGAGAGTTTATATATATATAAATATGTGTATGTGTGTGTATGTGTGTGAGTAACCGGCATCGTCCACCGTGATAATAATAATTCCGCGGATAAAACGGCGGATAAAAAGTAAATACGTGGCGCGGACAGAAGAGACATGGCGATCCGGCACGTTTGCTAACCGGGCTGTTCTCTCTCTCTCTCTTTGTGTGCCGACTGTGCGGAAAAAGTTAAGGCTCGCTTGCAATAAGTCGCATGCATTCCGCTCCGTTGCAGGTGGTCTCGCGCACATTTGTGTATCCCGCGACGAGCCCCGCGGTCACGTTTCTTGCTGTGTCGCGCGCGACGATCTCACGCGATAATTTCAAAGCTTTAGTCCGAGAAAAAGAGAGAGAGAGAGAGAGAGAGAGAGAGAAAAAGAAAGTTCCCGAGACGTTCTGTCATATCAATCTTTCGACCTATCTTTGCACATCACGCTCGCTCCCGTAAAGTCTTCTTCCTCCAACCACGTCTATGTCTACGTCTCGCATCGATTTTCTCGTTCGATATCTCAAAATTTGCGGACGGAGAGGGGGGGAGGAGGGAGCGTGAGCGTAATGAAGCAAAATGATTCTCCGAAGACGCGCTTGATCGGACGATCGCGTTAAGAATGTATCGCTCTATCGCGTGCTTCTTAGGAGCTTTCAAATGCCACGACTCGTGAGATGGGCCTCGCGAGGTTTTAAATATTAAAGGATACCTGGAAATTATCGAGGAATATCGGAGAATTATAATCGGAGAGGAAGTGTGCTGTTAACCTCGCGAAAAGTCAAAGTTATTTTTGCCCGCTACAAAAATGGTCCCCCCGATTATAATTCTCTCACTACACGGAGGAAGATGATTTGCCGGCGTGGCAAATTTTACGCGACAAAATCTGTCGGTTACCGCATGGATAAGCAAAAATGATCTGTTATGGACACCGATCGCCATTTCGTCGGATTATTTTGCCGAGTCTGAACAAATTATTGTGCTGCGAGAACAAATCGGTAAATATAGGTAAACACTATTTTCTTCCAACGGCGAATCAACGCGTCCCAGGGACAAATTCAATCGGCAAAATATTTTCTATCCCGGCCGCGAGACTGCTTCTGCTTCAATTATGAATAATAACCCTCTAATTTCGTTACGTCAGCCACATTTCGTCGCTGTCGCAACGAATAGGGAGCGGTAACAACGATGGTTTCGGCAAAATTATTCTCCCCCGTGCACGTAATCATAATCACAAATACCAAATGCTTTTTTCCCAACGTGATGCAACTCTGCTATCTATTTTCTCAAACTTTCCGGATTGATGGCACTTCTGTTCGCCGGAATTGCGGGCTTTTTGTCCGATTAAGTCGGATGTTACTTTTCAATACTGCCGAACCCTCTCCTTCCCGGTTTTTTCTCAAACTGAAGCGGTTCGGTGGAATCGGTGCCAAGTGCGGATGTAGATAAAAAACCGGAGGGAATCGAGGAAGGCGAACCGCCGGCTGCGGTTCGAGAGTTTGCTCGCTCCCGGCGACGGAAAAACTAAGGCAGGCCCTCTCAACGAAGGTTCTCTCTCTCTCTTCTCGCACGGTGAAAAACGGCGGAAGGAGAGTGGACGACGTCCTAGCGCACGTCCCCGTGCAATTGCGGCTAGCCGCGGGAACGACGCGCGCGCGATTCTTTCTAAGTTAATCACGTTTAACGGAGCTAAACGCGCGAACACGTTCGTCGTCGTCGTCGCCGCGGAACGCGCGCTAACAATAGCCTCCCGTCCGCCGCCTGAGATGTTAAGTAACCAGCTCATTTTTGCGCCGTAGCTCGCTTTTATTAGCGAGCGACGGAGAGAGAGAGAGAGAGAGAGAGAGAGAGAAAGAGAGACGGGAACGGAATGCAGGCAGCCAGCGAGATCGCTCTCTTGAACACTCTCTTACGTGAGAATACAGCCCGACGTGACCCCGTTCCATAAAATTCCACGGAGCGTATCTCATTTTTTCCGTCGTCCTGACGAGGCCGCAACAATCGTCGAATTTCCGCGTCCGACCCGTATCGAGACCGTAATTCTAATTGAAAGCGAGCGAGCGTACGTCCGTCCGTCCGCGTATTTTTCCCGCGAATATTCCCCTAGTCGAAGAAGAAGCATTTCCGACGACTTGCTCGCGTCTTCTCGTAGGAAAGCATCCTTCTGTTTCTCGGATTAGAGCGGGTTCTATTTCCGTGGCCGATCGATCGCCGCGGCTCGTTGCACCTGCAATTTCTGGCCCAGCCGCTATTTAGAGGGAGAATTACGTTCACACACACACGCGGAGAATCGCGAGAGAGAGCGCGAGAGAGACCGAAGGCATCTCTAATGAGAACAAATGATCTTTCTTCTTCCCCCTCTACGAGGATTTATAATTCCGCCGCGCATAAACGCCGCGTACGCGTGATGCCACGTACGTTGTAATTAATTATTAGCAAAAGTCGCTTTCACTAATATCCACACGTGCCCTCCCCCCCGAGGGAAACGCGCGTCGTTTAAATCCGAGGATGAAGTTATTCGCGCGCGAAACCCAAGGATTCTCTCCCCTCTCTCTCTCTTTTTCATCCACACTTCGTAGCGCGCGCCGCTTGCGTATCCTCAAAGCTCTCCTCGCGTTGTGTTGAAATTTTCAGAAGCTTAGATTGCTAACCTACGGTGTTGAAGTCGCTTTGAAGTCGGCGCGAGAATTATTCAACAGGATTCTACAGCTCCGACGTAATAGCTGGCAACCCCTATCTTTCGGGAGGGGGAAGGAGGAAGGGCAAAGGGGTTTAATCATTCCCCCTTGTGTGTGCATGCAATGCACAAGGCTGACCTGCATCCTCTCTCGCGCGCGCACATCCCCGGAAGAGCGAAATTAGTTCCTCTTTATTACGTCGAGCTGAGGCGACGAGAGTAACGCCGTTTACCTCGCCTCGCTATTAGTCGTCCCGACATTAATCCACGCAGAAAGTAACTTCGCGTCCGGCACTCTCTCGTTACGTCACTCCGCAAATCACTGCGAGAAGTTGTCCCAGAGAGAGAGAGACTGTAAGAGATCTCGAAGTAATGTTAATTACTGAAAGCGATCTTTGCTTGCTCCTTTACGACACCCTCAGCCTTGAATCGCGCATGATTCGCGTTAACTCTGAGAGACACCAACGATTTTGACGCTGAAGATGACGTCACAGGTCCCTCGCACGCAGAAGAGTGACGACAGATTTTATGCTGCCGCAGCGAATCGATCGATGTACAGTAGTATACATTGATTTATTTGCTAAGACAGCATGTAAAATTTGCTCCTGACAGCTTAAGTCTTAATGCTTACGTTTGTGTGTGTATGTCATGGCCTT